TTGAGTTGAGCTTCCGGAACCATTGAGGAGAGGCCTGTTTGATGCCATAAAGGGATTTGCGAAGGTGGCTGAGAGGATTTGGAGGGAGAGGTTCCCCTTTACATAAATAACCCGGAGGCACCTTCATAGAAATTTCCTCACTGAGATCACCATGGAAGAATGCGTTGTTGACATCCAATTGGTGTAGAAACCAGCCATGGACAACAGAAAGAGCTAGAAGAAAATGAATAATAGTGATTTTGACCACTGGTGAAAATGTCTCGAAATAGTCAATGCCTTCTCTTTGGGTGAAACCTTGGGCAACTAGACGAGCCTTGTATCTTTCAAGACTGCCATCAACTTTGCATTTTACACGATAAACCCATTTGCAGCCAATTGGGGTTTTACCAGGTGGAAGGGAAACAATATCCCAAGTTTCATTCTGTTCAAGGGCAAGAATTTCATGTTGCATGGCAGTGCACCACTTGGGTAATTGGGAGGCATGGGAATAAGTTGTGGGTTCAAAATGTGTGGTTAAAGCATTGATAAAAGCTAAATGTGTGGGTGACAAATGATGATAGGATATGGAGTTTGATAACGGATGGGCAATGGTGATGGGGCAGTCATAATCAAGAAGGTATCTTGGTGGATGAGAGGTCCTGGATGGTCTAGAGGGAGGAGCATCAGTGGTCAGTTGAGTGGGAAGAGTTGTAACATGAATATAATTAAGAGGAGTGGAAAGAATAGGGGACGATGTAAAAGGGAAAATAGACTCAAAAAAGACCACATCTCTAGAGATGAAAACACGATTAGATTGAAGGTCTAAGAGTTTGTAGCCTTTGAAACTGGGTGGATAACCAATGAAGACAGTAGGTAAGGCTCTAGGAGAAAATTTGTGTCGAGGACGGGAAAGAGCGGAAGCATAATAGAGACACCCAAATGCACGAAGGTGGGAATATTTGGGGGACTGCTTGTGAAGAAGAGGAATTAAAGTGTTATGATGTAGGACAGGAGAAAGAGTGCGATTTATGAGATAAACAGAGGTCATAACACAATCCTGCCAATAAGGAAGAGGGATGTGAGATTGAAAATGGAGAGCACGTGCAACATTAAGAATATGCTGGTGTTTGCGTTCAACCACTGAGTTTTATTGTGGTATGTCAACACAGGAGTGGAATAGAGTGATACCCTTAGAGGAGAAGAAAAAGGATGTTAAATTCAGGGGCATTATCACAACGAACAGACTTGATGGATATGTGAAACTGATTGATAACTAAATTATAAAAATTGGGGAAAAAAGAAGAGAATATGATTTGTGTTTAAGGAGAAAAACCCATGTGTAACGCGTGCAGTCATCTACCAGAGTAAGAAAAAAATGATATCCATCAATGGAAACAAGGGTAAAAGGACCCCAAATGTCACAGTGAATGAGATCAAATGGATAGGGAGATAATTTTGGATTCAACAAAAATGGTAGATGTTTTTGCTTTGCTAAAGGACAAACAGTACAATGCGAAGAATCAAAAATAGAATCAAGATGTAAACAATTTTTCATTGATGATAACACATTAAAGACAAATGACATAATCTAGAGTGCCACAAGGCAACATTCTTTGAATTAACAGAAAAAGGGTGGGGGGACATGATTTTTGGGGAGAAGAGCTGCTGAGTCGAGGATGTATAGACCTTGGATGAGACTAGCAATCCCAATCGTTTTTCCCGAGAGACGTTCCTGGAGAAAATAGTGAGAAGAAAAAAAATGAGCAATAATATCTGTGGTGCGAGTAATGGCACTAATGCTAAGGAGATTGAAGGAAAATTGAGGACAAATAAAATATCATAAAGAGTCAAACATGCAGATAGCATAGAAGAACCCTTGGATGCTACCGGAACAACCGTGCCGATAGGAAGAGACACGACTGATTCAGAAGTAGGGAAAAAGGATGTTGATGACAAAGGGGTACAGGAGACGTGATGGGTTTCCCCTGTGTCCAGAACCCAGCAAGACAAAGACAAAAGAAAAGGGAACTCACCACTGAAGCTAGTAACGGTGGGGTTAACATCAACTGTTGGAGAAGGTTGCTGAGATGCAAGGGAAGGAGAGGTAGGGTTTGGGGAGATGAGAGAAAGGAGTTGCTGGTATTGTTGATGTGTGAAGGTTGGAGAGGAGAAGTGTGAGTCAGGAATGGATGAAACAACAGCGTTGGATTGAGGGGTTATATTGGGGCTGGCGGGTTTGGGTTTATACCCGTGTGGGTATCCATGCAACTTAAAACATTTTTCCTTTGTGTGGCCTATAGCATTGCAGTGAGTGCAAAAGAGGCACTGATGACATTGAGGCGCACTAGTAGCAGCGACAACAGATGATGGTGGAACTATGAGAGGCAGCAGAGAAGCATCTTGGACCACCGAGACGAATATTGTGATCTCCCGTTGACGTTCCTCTTGTAACACCAAGGAAAAAACTCTGGATAAAGAAGGGAGAGCATCCATAAGAAGGATTTGAGCTCTAATTGAAGAGTAAGAATCATTCAAACCCATGAGAAATTGCATGGCATGATCTTGGTCACGATCATTGGTGATGGATCATAAGGCACCACAAGTACAGGGGTAAGAAAGTGAATAATCAAGGAACTCATCCCAAAGGGTCTTCGGACGGGTATAATAGCCATTGACAGTGAGAGCACCTTGCTGCAAAGAAGAAATTTAAAGTTTCAGCTGAAAAATATGGGGACCGTTTGCTGATGAAAACGATTACGAATATCGGTCCAAATATCATAGGCGTTGACGAAATACATAAAGCTATCAGCGATGTCTTTTGAAATAGAGTTTAGAAGCCAGGAAATCACCATTGAATTGCAACGATTCCAGGCATTAAACAGAATATTATCCTGTGAAGGACGAAGGAGAGTGCCATCGACAAAAGGGATTTGTTTTTTTCTATCAATGCAATGAACATAGCTCGAGACTAGGAGTTGAAATTAGAACCAGTGAGTGGGTGAGTGACTAAAATTAATCTTGGGTGATCACTATTACCAAGATAATAAGGATTACCGGAATCATCAACTGAATGTGAAGATCCGAAATAAACACTACCACTGGGATTAGAATTAGTGGAAGTATTATTATTATCACCATCGCCACGAGCCATTGGGAAAGGGCATGGATAAAAAAAAACACTTATACCATTTTACAAACAGAGAACTGAAAATGGAGAAGATGCAAATTGAAGAAATAAATCTGATTGTATTTCATTAAGATTTACAGTGATGTGAGAGTTCCTATTATAAAGGAAATGTATAGAATAACCAACTCCCGTAAAATACGCAAGGGAGAAAGAAAAACAGAAAAATAGAATAACAACTAACAAAAAGGTATCTAAAAGATGCGAAAGAATTTTGTATATTGATAACTATCTTTAATAAAATCTTTTATTGACTCTTGTAATTTTAAATATTTTTAAAATATTATAAATTTATATTGTTCTATCAAATCTTATAAATTATATTAAAATCCTTTAAAATCCAATCTTATAAGATTTTGATTGTAAAAAAAAATCTTTTAAAGTCACTACAATTCTAAATAATCTTTTAAATTTTATAAGAATTTTTTTCTCAAAATAATATTTTAAAATCCAAATTCAATACATCCTCCCCTTAGATTTGATTTAACATAAATTTTTTTATTTGAGTAATGATGTGGCCATTTTAATTCAAACCATCCCATTATTTGATATAACAAGTAATTTCTCCTTCTTGGCATTGGCTTTACGATTTTGCTAACGGTTCAATGTTTCGGACAACGACCAAAATGCCACATTTTTCTCAAAAAATTATCTGAATGTCACGCTTTGCAATTTGTTTTCTAAAATGTCACGTCACCTAACTCGCTACAACTCCTAGCGAGTTAAGTGTGGAGACGTGGCAGAAGGTGCATGCCCACATAAGTCGCTGCGTAGTGCAGCAAGATTATGAGGCATCAAACGTGCTATACAGCATAGCATCTTCAGTGTCATAAAATAATTTAAATTAATATAGACAGAATTAAACTCAAATAATTAACAAACATAAATTACGTTTAATTCATTAAGACTCTTAAATAAAATTACATTACTTAAAGGTTCAAAAACACATAACTTAAACTAAATTAAATGAAATTAGTTAACACTCCTAAAAATAATTAATTAATAGTTATAAATAATTTAAATTAATATAGACTGAATTAAACTAAAATGATGAACAAACATAAATTACATTTAATTCTTTAACACTCCTTAATTAAATTAAATTACTTAACAGTTCAAAAAAATTAACATAACTTAAACTAAAATAAATGAAATCAATTAACCCTCCTAAAAATAATTAATTAAAAATTATAAAATAATTTAAATTAATATAGACTAAAATAAACTAATATAATTAATTTAAACTATTTTATAACTATCAATTAATTATTTTTAGGAGTGTTAATTAATTTTATTTAATTTAGTTTAAGTTATGTTAATTTTTTTGAACCGTTAAGTAATGTAATTTAATTTATGATTGTTCATGAATTAAATATAATTTATGTTTGTTAATTATTTTAGTTTAATTCAATATACATTAATATAAATTATTTTATAACTATTAATTAATTATTTTTAGGAGTGTTAATTAATTTTATTTAATTTAGTTTAAGTGATGTTAATTTTTTTTGAACCGTTAAATAATGTAATTTAATTTAGGACTGTCCATGAATTAAATATAATTTATGTTTGTTAATTATTCTAGTTTAGTTCAGTCTATATTAATTTAAATTATTTTATGACACACATGGAACATGCTATGCTGCATAGCATGTTTGACACGTGACAGAAATGTTGACTAAACATGCTATGCTGCATAACGCGTTAGCCATGAGTCACAAAAGCTGACTAAGGATGCTATGCTGCATAACACGTTTGTTGCCACGTATGTTTGAACTTTGGTTTCTAAGCTTGTACATTAAAGTTTTGATGATTACAAAGCACCAACAAGCTCAACATGGATGCACAACATAGAAGGCATTGCAACAAGTCCCAAATGGCACTAGAAAACCAAGGTAACTTGCTAAAGTGGAAGATTAACTTAAAAGTGCAAAGTTAACATCAAAGTCAAAGATTCAAGTGAAAAAAGGAACTAGAAGACTCAAAGGATGAAGACTTTTGAAGATACTTGAAGACTTGTGCTTTAATTTTGTGTCATGTACTTTTAGAGTCTTATGACGTATGAAGTTGAGTTTATTGAGCCATATTTCTCTAGATTGCACTTAGAAGTATAAACTCATGCATTGTCATACAAGTCTCACAAACATGAAAATTAAGGAAAGAAAAAGCAAATTATTTTTTAATTCAAATATATTTTTTCAATATTTAGTTTTTGATTTGGAAAAGAAAAAGTTGATTTGAAATTAATTTCTTTTTTTAAAAGATTTGATTTGATTTTTGATTTGAAAAAGAAAAAGTTAATTTGAAATTTATTTCCTTTTTAAATATTTGATTAGATTTGGTTTTTGATTTGAGATTGATTTCCTTTTTAAAAGATTTAATTTGATTTGATTTGATCTAGACATAGGCTTACATAGATTGCAGATTTTTAATTCATTTGCTTAATGCTTAATTCAAGAGGAATTACTAGGACACTAGGATTCTAATTGGGTTAAAGGGTTGAAAACACTAAGACATTAGGGTTCAACTATTTAACAGGGACATAATGAATTGTTTGAGCTAATAAATTAGTTAATTATAAAATACAATTTAGGAATATAAGGGAGGATCGAAGGTGAAGTGCATCCTGGCTGCAGCTTCTTTTACAATTTTTCATAACTCATATTTCCTTGATATTCTTGCATGCTTTTGAATTTTATTTTTTTTAAAATTCTGTTTTTAAATTACAACAAACAATTACCTTCACAATCAAACTTAATTCTTTCCAATTTAAAGGGAATAGTTAAAATTAGTCATTGGTGCATTAATCCTTGTGGGAAGATATCTTACTTCCACTTTTATTACTTGAAACGAACGGTATACTTGCTGATTTCGCAACAGTAAGAGAAAACTATTTTTATATATGTAAAAAAGGATAAACTTCCAACTAGGGAAAAAAATCAACAATAGAAATCATAAAACATGATTTAGAAAATTTGTCATTTCTAAAAAGTAGTTCCCTAATTAAGAATAGCAAGTATAAATATTTTTTGTAAGTCATAAAATGTGTGAAGAAAATTGAAAAATGGAACCACCAAACTTTTTTTATCAGGAAAATTGAAAAACCTTTTTGTTGAAGAAAATTGATATTTGAAAACATAAATGGATTTTAAAATCGATTATGTGAGAAAGTATTAACACCCTATATCTTTCGTTTAAAAATGGTTATCTTGGATTGGTTGCCTGAACTTATTTTACCCTTTTAATAATTAGTAATAAAGATTAACAAGCTAGGAAGACTAAATTCTAACATTTACAATGAAATAATTTTAGCAAAAAAAATTAAACAAAATAACAATTTCAAAAAAATGTGAAAGGACAAAAAAAGAAAAGAAAACCTAAATTAACTAAACATCTCAAGATTTAACAATGTCCCAGAATTGAAAAATAATTAATTTTAGTTTTGTATTTTATTATTTTTAACATTCTTTGATAAAAAATATATATCAAAATATGATGTATACATAACTAGAATCTAAGGGCCTGTTTGGTATGATGTATAAAGTCTGATAGTATAAGCTTATACTATACGTTATGACATTTTTAGTTGTTTGATGTGACCATCGTATAGTATAAGCTTATACAGTAGGATCCTTTTATACATCAAAATGATGTATAACTTAATCAAGCCTAATATGATAGGATTAAGCCTGATAAGGGTTGATGTATTAACTAATGCAATTCTCAAGAATTAATATATTATTTTAATATTAATATATTGTAATAAAAAATAATTTTTTAATATGTAAATTTTTAAAATATTGGATATTTTTATTTTTATAAAAATTAATATATTTTTTGGACACACTGATCAACATATTTCTATAAAATTAATCTCATATGACATATTTGGAAGAATTATATAAATTCATTATTAAAAGATATTTTTGTGAAAAATATTTATTTTTATCCTATCTAGTATTATATACAGTGCATTACCAAACATTGGATGATATTATCTTATACAATATATTATCTTACACAATATCATGCCAAACGCTGGATAGTATTAAAATTTAATCAGGTCTTATACTATCAGATCTTATACTATCATACGTTATCCTATACTATATACCAAACATGCCTTAAAATGACAAAAAAAACTAAGAACGACAACGTACATGTATAAATGAGAAAAAAAATAAAAAAAAATAAAGCTCATCCTTTCTTTTTAAGTTCGACACTTTTTCTTTTTATTTTTTATTATGTCAATTTAATTTTTTTTACACAAACACAAATTAGTGTGTACCCCCATCATCACGTACGCCTTGGGACCATGAATGTGTAGCAACTATTGGATTTATGCGGAAGCGATTTAGGACATAGTACATTGCTATGCTCACTGAATCATCCTCGTTTCACAATTATCTCTTGGTGCGCAGATCTCGTGTAGAATCTTCCCTTGTATGATTCCTCTTCACAAACGCTCACCTCAGCGCCGCAGCACGAACAACCTCCTTGAAGCTGGAGTGTGACAGATCTTCCAGACTATGTCTCAAGGGCAAATGGGAAGTGTGTGGGCACTCTCTCACTTTCAGGGAAATGACCTTACCTCAGCCTTTGCAACTACCAAAATGAAGACTAGAGAGGCTGATGACTGTAAGTGTAGAATATATATGGGTTCTAAGAAATCCTAACCCTTAGCATAATGGACTTTAGGTTTCTTAGGCTTTTCTTACACACTAGGTGCTATTGGACTTTAGTGAAAGAGCAAAACCCAACAGAATGCATAAAAAAAAAAAGAATCATGTAGTCAGAATTCTATAAAGGAAACAAGACCAATGAGGTAGAGAAAAAAAGCAACTTACTACTCACCCTTTTTAAGAAGATGTTGCAAAGTAATCCCAACATTGAATAAAAAATATATATAACAAGCAACCATGTGATGAAGTTTACGAGACATACATTCACCAAAGACAACATGATTCCACTTTGTTACTAAATTCTAAGAAAAAAATATTATAACCATAGCATGAAGAAGGAAAAATTAAAAGAAGAAGAAGGAAAAGGCTAATGTACGGTTCATTTGAAAGAAGATCATAACCACCAAATCATTACATCTTACAATCTCAGTGTACAAGAGATGAGATTAGCAAGATTAGATTATATAGGAGCGTGACACTTAGGTAGTGTTTGGTAGGAGTTATCTTTGAAAATAGATAGGTATATGAGATTGGTATTCTATTTATATCATGTTTAGTACAAGACATTAGAATATTTTACCAGCAAAGTTATTTGCCAAGCGTTCGATAGTTGCTTGTAAAATGGGACCAAATACATTGTGCAAGAATACCACTTGGGATGTGATATTTGAAGATGACCGGAGAAATAGAAAAAAGAACTATAAATTGTTGACAAAAAATACCTTCGATTCTAAGGGTTATTCACATTCAAAAATTATAAAAGGGTTATTTTTGTCATTTAAACTCTTTTTCCCATCAATATTTTATCTTCAACCAAACATACATTCATAAAATTTTATCCAATTTTTCTTGTAATATTTCGGCCTATCAAATAACTTTTTTTAAATTTTCCTACCAAACTTGTTTTCCCACCATATTCCTAGTAATTATATTTCCTTGGAAAAAAATTTCTCCTCTACCAAATGCTCCCTTACAGTATAATATAAACTATTAAAAAGATTTTCACCCAATATTTTAAGTTTTTGAATTAAAATGATTCTTTATATTGTATCAAAGCTTCAGTAGTCAAAATGTCAGAGTTCAATTCTCACTGACCTGCATAATATTCGCGCTTCAAGTCCAACTGACTTTTGCGTAAGGGATGTGTTAGAGAATAATATAAACCATTAGACCCAACAACAACTTAAGGTAAGTTTTGGGTTGAAACTACTCCAAAATTAGAAAGGAAAGCTTCCGGTGAATCTCCAATTTTCTCTACACAAGTTCAGTTGCAAGATCGAAAAGCTTCTCCTCACTTCCCTCTTCGTTTGTGGTCTTCCTGCTCTCTTTTGTTGCCTCTCCTTAATTGATCTTTGCGTTTTCTCTTTTACTTCTCCTCTGTCACTGTGAATCCTCTTTTTCCTCCCTCTTCGCTATGTTCTCGTCCTTGATAATATTGCCCCCGTTCACTTGCAGTGCTCTCTCCTCCACAAAACTCTCAACTAAAAGAAATGAATATACTCTTCATTGACAAATAATTTGGAGACAACCCCTGCAACTCATCCCTTGCGGAGATAGGATGTAACTTTTCTCTGGCCATTTTTCCACCAAGAATAGGGTAACCCCAAGAAGAGCAAACACAAGATTCATAAAGATAGTTCCAAGAAGTCTTCTCTTTCCAGCAAAGCCATGATCCCTTTGCCCATTCCACTGACTGCTTCCATGTGAGCAAGGATGGGGTGTACTGCTAATTTGAACTTTGCCAAAAGAAAGATACCAATGAAGCATAGGTAATATAGGACCTTATGAAGCTCCATATTCATTATTGAAAAATGGGGTTGTGGCGGGATCTGAAGAACGAACAAAGCACTTTGTCCTGGAGTCTGCAATTTTAGCAGGATAACATCTTTTGGCAGAAACATTTTTTTTTATTATTTATTGAGTGAGGACAAAATGATGTTGCCGCCACTTGAGAAATAGGTGAAGTGAAAATAATGCATGGAGTAACGATGTTGATGTTGATGTTTGATGTTGGTTATGTGCCCTGAGTATATGTAAAGTTCTTGTAAAGAAAGAACAAAAAATGCATCTAGTACCCTAAAATTTTGGAAGGACATAGATTTTGATTTGGTTGTTTGAATCGGGTGATTTTTTTTATTTCACGTAATTTTTTGAAGTCTATGCAATGACAAATACTTGGAGGGGATTTGGTCAATTTTTTGTTGAAAAAATGCTTCCTTGTTTCTATGAATATAATGTTATTTAATTCCTATTCCCATTTCTCATTATCCAACAATAACAAATAATGGTGACTTATTATTTCAATGGATAGGAGATTATGTAAAACTTATTGAACTTGTCCGAAACTAGGTATCTGTATTCCAAAATAGATGAAGTACATTGACGATGACTGAAGATGCGCATCATAATAGACATATAGGACATTGATGAGTTGCATCTGTTTTTGTGCGTGACTAGTTGCACGCAGAAAGAGGCGCTATTGCGCTTATTCTGGTGCGCAACTGGTTGCATTAATTTTGTAAATACTTTGCAAATCACTTTAATTTTGTAATTTTTTATTTAAAATGCATTATTTTAATTTTTTGGCCATTCATATAGATGTAGAAATGGTTAAACTTCAAACTAAGGAAAAAATCAACAACAGAAATCATAAAACATGATTTAGAAAATTCATCACTTCTAAAAATTAGTTCCCTAATTAAGAATAGTAAGTATAAAATGAAGAATAAATATTTTTAAGAAGACACTAAATGTTTCAATTTTGATACAATAAATTATTTTTGAACGAATTGAGTTTCCTTTTAAAATAGCTCAAACCTGGAAAACTATTCAAATATGGGGAAAAATGGATAAACTTCAAACTAGGGAAAAAATCAACAATTAGAAATCATAAAACACGATTCAGGAAATTTATCTATTCTAAATTGTAGTTCCCTAGTTAAGAATAGTAAGTATAAAATGAAGAATAAATATTTTTAACAAGTCACAAAATATTTCAATTTTGATACAATGAATTATTTTTGAACGAACTGAGTTTCCTTTTAAAATAATTCAATACTTAAGACCTATTCATATGTATTTAAAAATGGATAAACTTCAAACTAGAGAAAAAAATCAACAATAGAAATCATAAAACATGATTTAGGAAATTTATCAATTCTAAAATGCAGTCCCCTAATTAATAATATTATCTATAAAAAGAAGATTAAGTATTTTTAATATGTTCAAAATTTTAAAATATTTATTATTTTCTATTTTAAGTAGGTAACACAATTTACTAAAAAGTATTAATTAAATACTCATTAACCATTATTTTTATTTGGATACTTATTAATCTCAATACAAATCAAGTAAAATATAAATATGGTGGTAGGTGAATCATTAATTATGGAAAATTAGTCAAGTTTTGAATCATAACGAATAAGGTACAAGTAATTTCCTATGTATTTAGAAAAGAGGTGGATGCAATGATAGAAGTTGAGTTGGTGCAAGACAGTTGAGTCGGTGAGGAATGACTTTGGTTAGATCCCTGTCAATGCTATTTTGGGGGCATAAAATCTTTGTTGATTTATTCTTGTACTCGAAATTAGTCCCTTAACCGGCTTAAAGAGCCAAAACTTATTAAGATATTTGAAAAAATCTACTCACCTTAAAAAAATAATTAGAGTTGATAGAAAAAAGAAAAGAGGTAAGATGTATAAAACAAAGGGAAATTCTTTTTTTATATTGTATCAGACAAATTGTCTCATATGATACACAAAAAAGTGGATGAGACTCACTCTTTTTTTTCTCTCTCTTCTCCTTCGTGGGTCTCACCTACTTTTTTTTGTGTTGCATATAAAATAATTTATCTCATGTAACATAAAAAAAAATCAAACTCCAAAACAAAATACTTCGAAATTTTACCACATTGAAAAAGAAAGTCCACAATTTTACACCGTGGGGAAAAACACGAATCAAAATGGAGATGACTATCACTCAGTTTTCTATGTATTTAGATGAGAAATGAGACGTATAGAAATAAAATAATTTAATATTTTGTTAGAATTAACTATGGTTATGAATAAGAAGTTGAAAATGTGTGCTTTATAAATAACTATTGGTTCAAATGGTAAAGAAATTGTTTCCCTTCTAAAAATTTCGCGTTTAAGAAATAAAAAAAATGTGTTTTCCGCGCTGGACACGTGTGTCATTTCAAACCATGCCGTTCTTATTTTATAAACAGGGTATCCATAGGCATTTGTACATTTCATAAAATTATCATCTCTTTTTTCTCGTTAGATATTTAAGTTTCGTTCATTTTATCCATGTGTATTCATTGGGTTCGAATTTTTAATTTTCTTGAATGTACTAATTGCTAGAGAAGTTTAATATAAATCTAGTAGATATTACTCACAGGATTAAGTTGTTATGTTGAATTAGTGTCATTTATATGAAATAATTTCCAAACACATATATTCCTTCACATTATTTTTGTTATTATTTTCCAAATTAAAAAAAGGATAGTCCAGAATTTTTCACCGCTGTTGAAATACACGAACCAAAATGGAGGTGAGACATCATCACATAGTTTAAGTTTCCTCTCCATGTTATCTATGACTATAAGTACTTTGAAATGCTTCTTGATTTCCTGAGCCATAGTCCATAGCAAGACCAAAAGGATTCAGAAGAACCAGTGCATCATGATGACTTTTCAGTTGTCCTTTCATCTCAGTCACGGGCCTTCTTGTGCGAGACCTGCAGCCCAATCCGACTATCCTTTCAAGTTCTTCCTTCCATTGGGGGCCGGTGTGTTTGTTTTAATCTTGTTTTATTTATTTAAATTCTTCTTTTTAATTGATTGTCTTCAATTCTAATAATTTTCATAATATTTACATTTATAAATGTGTAGTCTCCAAAATGATTTTAACATTATTCCGTATTAGAGATCCTATCTCATTTTCTATGTATTGGTGTTACAAGACGTAGTATCTCATTTTCGAAAGTCATCTTTTGAGAAATATAATCCATTTTTATTGTACAGCCTCGTGTATTTTATGACAACACCAATCACTTCCCCTTAAACTCGTGTATTTTATGACAACAATCAACCACATGTAATCTATGGATAACACATGACACCTCAAATTATGGCTCATGTCAATATGTGGAATAAAATGAATTATGTACGAGTTTGGATAAATAACAAAAATTAGTATTATATCGTGTCACGGGTTGAATCGCGTGACCCATATATCAACCCTCAAAATTTTTGTCAAAAAAATAAAAATAAAAGTTAAAATTTTGGTGAATATGATAATCAATTGCAGGTCGCGGGTCAACCCGTATATTTTATTTATTTGTTTTTAATTTTTTTAGAAAAAAATAATCTTTCAATTTTTGTGAAATCGTGTTCAAATTGGTCAGTTTGACTTGTGGGTCAAACCTTGATACAACACAAATCTTATCCGCCAACACATTTTGCCACTTTAGAAAATTCTTGTAGCCTTACCCTTGTATAAGAGTAAAAAAAAAAAAATTATACAGAATTTTTTTTCGTATATGTGTAGGGTATGTAGAATAGTAAAATACCCCTACGTACTGATCGAACGTTCCTTTCAAAATTCAAACAGGTATACGTCCCCTCCGAATCATTGAAGGCAGACATGATAACAAGTCTGTTGAATTTCAGCCAAATTGCTCTGGGACACAAGGTGATATATATTTTAGTTAGTTTATTAGAAGATTTATATTTGTTATACGTGGATTATTATTTCTTTTGCAACAGGAGATAATATTATCACCTACAACTTATTTTGGGATTCGAGGCAAAAAATTCAAGGTATTTTAGTAGAATTTATTGTGATAAACATTGTAAAATACTTTGCAATTTTTTTTAAAAATCCAAAATTATGTCATTTTAAAGTTGTTTGAGATAATTTTATATTCTGTTGTACGAAAAACGTTTTTTCCTTATTTATATATTAGTTAAGTAAGGTCACTTTGTATCTTTCTTTTTCTATTCAGTATCGAAATTAATATAGTTAAGTCTATTTAGCAGAATATGTTAATGAAGTGTCTCGGGACAATGTGCCAACGTTCAAATGGCTAGAGACTGTGAAGGATGAGAAAGACGGCGAAACTCTGCACCAGGTGCATGTTGTCACACTCTTAACCTGTCCCTTAGATTTATAACTATATATCACATACGCATATATATGAAGACTCTTGACATCTGATATTTGATTTGTGACCGTAATTAATTCTGAAGGTTTTGGTAATAAACGAGATTAGAAAGCAGATAAACGCCGTCAAATTGATGTTGGGTTCCATGGAAGATGGAGAGATAAGCATATCAGCTTATGACACGGCATGGGTTGCTCTCATAAAAAATGTTGATGATGAAAATGCACCTCAATTTCCGACATGTCTTGAATGGATTGCAAATAATCAGCTTCCTGATGGCTCATGGGGAGACAGTGAATTATTCATAGCCTATGATCGGATTCTCAACACGTTAGCTTGTGTTATCGCATTAAGATCATGGAATGTGCACCCTGAAAAGTGTGACAAGGGTAATTTTATAACCAAGACTTTCATTGCTTTCTGATTTTTTGTGTTCCCCTATTTTTTATTTATTAATGTAATAGACCAACGAAAGAGGCATTAATTTAATCTATTTCGACTGTACATATACATTTATATTACAGGAATGACATTTTTTATGGAAAATCTATACAAGCTTCAGGATGAAAATTATGAGCATATGCCAATTGGGTTTGAAGTTGCTTTCCCTTCTCTTCTCGATATAGCTCGAAGTTTGAATATTGAAGTGCCAGATGATTCTCCTATCTTGAAAAACATCTTTGCAATGAGAGACATAAAGCTCACAAAGTATATATTCTCATAACCCTAAAGTTGGATGTAATGATATGTTTATCCGGGCCTTTAACACTTTTTTTTATACTGAGATTTGAACTTATGACCTTACGTAAATTATTTAAATTCTTCAATATTAGATAACTCCTAGTAACTTCATTTTTTATAGTTATATATGTATATAATGATAATAGATTATCTCATATCACATGAGATGATGAGAAAATAAGAGAGAGAAATATGTTAGAAAAATCTAAATTAAAACCATCAATATAAGTATTACTTACACATTTAAGTTATTGGATTGAATTTGTAATTTTTTTTTAAATTAATAATCTTTTACTTGACTCTGTGTAATATTTTATTTGCATGTACCGTGTGCACGGGATAGAATACCCAAAGAGGTGATGCATAAGGTGCCCACAACACTGCTCCATAGTTTGGAGGGAATGCCGAATTTGGAGTGGAAGCAACTTCTAAAGCTGCAGTCCCAAGACGGGTCATTTTTGTTCTCTCCATCCTCCACAGCCTTCGGCTTCATCCGGACCCAAGATGAAAATGCACTCCAATACCTCGAAAAAACAGTTAAGAGGTTCAATGGTGGAGGTAAAAGTGTCTTGGACAAAGCTGATTTTATCAAACTTTTTATACAAACTTTTTTCAATGAAAATTTTAAAAATTTAAATTATAAAAGAAGTATTGTAATAAAAAAAAATCTTTTTTTTTATAGCCACATTCTTTATCTTTTAATTCCAACTATATTTTTCAATTGAAGTAATGGTGTGACTTAATATACTAACTTGAATTAATTAACATTTGAAACAAATAAATAATTTAGTACAATCTTCAACAAAAAAAGAAAAATAGCAAAAAAAATAGAACAACTCAAATCTACATTTTTTTTGGTGCTAACATATAAGCCAAAGTAATTATTTTATTTCTTTACTTTGCCAGTTCCAAATGTGTACCCGGTGGATCTGTTTGAACACATCTGGGTTGTTGATCGGCTGGAACGCCTTGGAATTTCGAGATATTTTCAGCAAGAGATCAAGGACTGTACGAGTTATGTTTCAAGGTGCATGGGATAAGTTTATCTATGATTGGAAATACTTAAAAAGAAAGTGTGAATGCTAGAAAAGAAAGGTGCAATGTCTTTTAGTTAAATAATTACTTGATAAATGTACCTTAAAATTTTTCAGATATTGGACTGAGAAGGGTATTTGCTGGGCAAAGAATTCAGAGGTTCAAGACATAGATGACACAGCAATGGGATTTAGACTGCTAAGGTTGCATGGCCACCAAGTTTCACCTAGTAAGTTTGATATTGCATATCGAATACTTTAAAAAAACATAATAACATATATCTTTGTTCCTTCCATCATTTATATATATATATATATATATATAGGTAGAATCTTTGACACCGGTGTCAAATTTAAAGTTTGACACCTCATGTGAGAGTCATTAGATCAAAAAATATCAATGGTGTCACATGTTTACAAATCATAGTCGATCTTTTTTGATCTAATGACTCTCAGATGAGTGTCGAATTTGACATCAGTGTCAAAGGATCCTACCTCTCTTTCTCTGTATGTATTGTTTCGAGAGAGATAAATGATTTTCACAAATTAATGAATAAAGTGGTTAATGTTGATTCCGAATTTGGTAGATGTGTTCAAGCAGTTTGAGAAAAGTGGTGAATTCTTCTGCTTCTCTGGGCAGTCAAGCCAAGCAGTGACAGGAATGTTTAATCTTTATAGAGCTTCTCAAGTGCTATTTCCAGGAGAGAAGATTCTTGAGGATGCCAAGTACTTCTCAGCCAAATTTTTAACTGAGAAACGTGCTGCTAATGAGCTCCTTGATAAATGGATCGTAACTAAAGATTTACCTGGCGAGGTGAGTTCCAATGTCGCTACAACTGACTTATTAGTTATTATATATATAAAATAAGCAACCTAACTTCGTACTTTGTGTCCACGCACGTATGTACCGAGAAAAACAATAAAAATGTGAATCGCTTAGTTTATGTTGTTATTATGATTATAAGTAAATAAAAAATTTATAAATATTCGTGACTATATATGTTATTTTATTTACTCTCATGTTGGGAATTTTAGTTCATTAACATTGTAACAAATATTACAGGTGGGTTACGCGCTGGACGTGCCCTGGTATGCAAGCTTACCTCGATTGGAGACAAGATTTTACATTGAACAATATGGTGGTGGGAGTGATGTTTGGATTGGCAAGACCCTTTACAGGTACGAATCTTTTAATCGCAATCCTAATAAATCCAATAACATTATCACTTTTGTGATTTGTCAGACCCAGCTCAAAGGTACTCAATAGTAATCATTTGTCAATCATTCAATGGGAGGATAATTTTTAAAAAATATAAGAAACAAGTGAATCATTCAGTGAGGAAATCAAAATACATCGGAGGCATAAGGAAACGTGTTAAAAATATTTAAATGAAATCATTCATGTATTTTTATGTAATGAGTTAAACTTCTGTGGTATTTAGTTCACAAATCAAATTATTCTCTTTTTTAACAGGATGCCGTATGTGAATAATGATGTTTATCTCGAGCTTGCAAAATTGGATTACAACAACTGTCAAGCAGTACATTCTACAGAATGGGAAAAAATCCAAAGGTGATCAGTGTAACCAAAATGCCCTCCATTTTATGCTTCTTCCCGAAAGCAATAGCGAATTAACTTCCAATTTTTGCAATGACATCTATATGTTAGGTGGTACTCGGAATCAGGAATAGAGGGGTTTGGATTGAGTAAAGGAAATCTCCTGTTTGCTTATTTTTTGGCAGCAGCCACTATATTTGAGCCTGAGAGGTCTCTAGAGCGACTTGCACGGACTAAAACAGCAGCTTTGCTCGAGACACTGAGGTCCTATATCAAGGATGAACAAACTAAGAGTGCATTTGTAGATAAGTTCAATAACAGCATTATCAGACGAGACAACTCAAACAAGTAAACATGACATTCATTGTTTGTCCTGTCAAACAATTCTCCTGCATGCCTATTTACGTTTTAATGCGTACCTTAGTTCCATAAAATTTTGTGCTTGACAAAATATAATACATGGTAATTAAATGATATCAGTGATGAAACAAACTCTGTCTTGAACGTGTGTAGCAGGTGGTTTAACAAGAGCAAGAGAGAGGAGGAACTCCTGGGGATTTTGCTGATAACCATTGATCACCTTGGGTTTGAAATGTTTCGGGTTCATGGTCAGGAAATTTCCCATTATTTGAATCAAATAGTGAGTGGAAACCCCTTTTGAGGTTTATAACTTTATATGCACTTCTATAAACACAGTCAACACTTAGTTTCTATTATATGAAATATGTCAATTAGCAAGAACTCTAGAAGTTTCTATTATATGAAATATGTCAATTAGCAAGAACTCTAGAATTTCTCGCTAAAACTTGTCCTTTTGTTCGAATGATCAGTGGCAAAGCTGGTTGACAAGTTGGCAAAATGAAGGAAGGAGCTCAAAAAGAGAAGCAGCGCTGCTTGTGGAAATCATAAATTTAACGTCGGGTTGTTGGTCAGAAGAACTACAGTTCAATCCTCAGTACCAGAGATTGTTAGAAGTTGCAAACAGAGTCTGCCATGGAATCCGTAATTTTCAAAGCAAAAAGGTCAGTAATAGAGGCTAACATGATACCTAATCAGTCTAGATTAAGTTCCAGATCCTGAGATTATACATTTCTGCTATTGTCAGGCAAATGACAGTGGCTGCGGCAACCTGAGTACAACCAGCATCACCACCTCCAAAATAGAATCAGAAATGCAAGAACTTGTACAATTGGTGCTCCAAAATTCCTCACATGGTATGCACTCCAATATCAAGAATTCATTCCTCATGGTGGCCAAGAGCTTCTACTATGCAGCATATTGTGACCCAGAGACCATTAACTCTCATATTGACAAAGTTCTCTTTCAAAAAGTGATATAAATCATTAATAATGTTCAGAACTAGTCTCACCGTTCATTATGTTGTTTTCCCTTCCAGTCCCATTGGGATTTAAACCTAGAACCTCCAAGATCATGTACCCAATGCTCATTAATAAATTGAACTAGTTTTTGCTGAAGTTGCTACACATGGACAACTGCGAATGCAGTAAAGTGATATTAGGTGCCAAAATTTCTTATTTGGTTTTGAGCTCGTCGAATTGCCTCAAAGTAGGGATATTTTTTTCAAATTAGTGTACTTGAGCCCTCTACCTCCAAGCATCTCTCTACCAACTAAGAAAACATTAATAGGACATGAGATTCTAATGAACTCTGTGATTCGGAAGACATTTGAGAGAAGGGAATTATCTCTGACAATCAGACATTTCAAGTCTTCAACTAAGATAATTATTGTGGACACAAGAAGAACTGTGCAGGACCTTAACATCTAAAATCTTTAATGAAAAGTAAAAAAAAGGGGATTCCTCTCAGAATTTCCAACTTGATTGGAAAGATGATGAAGAAAAGGTTCAAAGCACACTACAGGGATTGCGAACTTAAACTTCAACTGACCTTTGCACACTAGTTTTCTCAATTGATATCTAATACCAACCAGCACCTATTGAAGAGTAGAAAACAAGCAAGTGTACTATTGAAATAATTTCCTACATTTTAGTAGATCAACCATAAAGCACTGGAGCTTGAAACCTATGCTTCTACTGAAGAAAAAAAATGAATACATATGAGTCCCAAGTTATATTCTAAAAATTTGCTAGAATAAGGCAGTTATGCTGAGATATGATTACATTACCTGTTCCTATTGCAAACTCTAAGCCCAAGGGTTACATCAACAAGGTCAAATTGATAAAAAGTCATGAAAAAAAGCCCGAAGCAAGGAAATGAGAAGACTACAGTCCATGTCTTAGAGAAGATTCTTAATTTAACAGTCTATTTCTCTGAGGTAAGAAGCCATGTTGAACTCAATATCTTCTTTGGCCTGTTTATCAAATGGTTGCTCACCAATATATAAATCTAGAATTGACCGACACAGGAGTTTACTCTGGATGGTTCCCACTTCCTGTCCGTCAACTACAAGAAATAAGATAAAATTATATCAAAGATTCTTGTTGCAATGTAACATAACAAGAATAAAAATCATATAAAGCATATTATTTACTGCATACACATTAGTCACATGAAGTGACTAAAACTCCTAATAATAGGTGCTCCAGACTTGCATGCTCCAGACTTGCATTGTTTAGAGAACATGTATATATTACAGCGTACTGTTGAACCAGTTCCATTTTGAAAGCTCCCCGAGTTAAACACTTAACAGTGGTCTCTAAACAAAGACAACCTCACCAAGGTATAATTGCATAAGGTACTAAATACTTTAAACTTGAAATTAAAACCTGTATTTGTTCTATTTATACTCGCTATTTTTAGTAAGGGTAAACTCCAAAGCTCATTTGTCAAAACATTCAGTGCATTTAGAAAAAGAGAATACACATCATCCATGTTTCAACATTACCTGAATTCATTTGAGACAAAATTCTTCCCCATTATCAAATTGTCAGTTTCAGAGAATCAGAATATAAAATAGATGTAGTAGTTCCACCCATTTCCTTGTGATGGGAAAGGTATAAATGAAATATGGTCGTGGATTTGTCTTTCTGTTCCATGCATAAGCTTAATGTAGCCAGTTTGGAATGTGGTGTATTAGGGGACACTCAGTACTAATTGAAGAAAGAAGTAAACAGATGCATGAGTTCTCAACTGAATCTTCTGAATCACAGTTCAATTACTGTTCCATGCAATTTAATTCAGAAAGTTGAGAAGATGGAAATGCAGACATGGAGAAGGATATCTTACTTGATGTGCGAAGAACGTGGCCCTTCTCTCTAGAGAGATCAATAACAGATCCACGTGGTATTTTGAATTCATCTTTAAACTGTGAAGTGAACCTACATCACAGCAAGCTAGTAAAGTAAAACTAAAATATACAACAGAAAATTTTCATCCAATTGCATAAAAAAAGTTACATACGTCTCCTGAACAGACATTAATAGTAAGATTTCCCATGGTTTATCAAAGCTAAGATATCAGTAACAAATAATTTGAGCACAAATCTGCAATTTCATGATAAGTTTTATAAAATATAATATAATAACTAACACTTAATGCATGAAAACGAGATCACCAGTTGAAGGAACCATTCACCTTTGAAGCAATTCTTTATTGTCTGATCCCTCATACTTTTTAAGCCTGCTTCCTACAGTTTCTTCAAATGCATTTCGTACGGAACGAATGCTCAATTTTCCATAGACAATTTGAAGTTTAATTTTCATGGATATATCATTTTCCAAGACATCTTCAGTAAACTCCTTATTTCCCTTCAATTGGGAAATAGACAATTCCCCATATTTCTCAGAAAGATAGTTCTTTATGTCAGTATCGTCAACATAAACACCTGCAACAAATCACATAATTTAAAAAAATAAAAATAAATAAATAAGGTGCTACATGGGGAAAAGTTTTTTTTTTTAAACATTTAAATTGGTGAGGCTTGTAATTGTAGAAGGAAAATGAAGGGTTTATACCAAATTCATATACATCAATGTTCTTCAATCCGAAAATGCTTTTCTTCCTCACACCAATCCCACAGAGTTTAAGAGAAGAGCCTAGAGCCGAAGGGAACGACGCTCCGTTCTTTGACTCAACAGTGGGAATGCAATCGTCAGCCATACTCAGTGAACCCCAGAGAGGTAGCGAGTGGTCAGAAGAGAAGATGAAATTCCGGAGAAAGGGGCGGTCGTGGGAGGAGGAGGAGACGGCGACAAACGCGGCGGTGGCTCCGGCGGTGGCCGCTGCAGCGAATGCAGAGAATGGGCGTGAGAATTGAGGTGGTTGGGGCAGAGAAAACGAGAAAGGGAAACGCAGTGACCACATCTTTACTTCGTTACTTTCAATGATTCAGAATCACGACAACGAAAGACTCGAGAGTCGAGACACCGTCATACGAGTAAAATTGCGCCCATAAACAAGTAGATGACTATTTCAAACAAAACTTAAACAAAATATAGGGACACCGACCAAAATCTCAGTTTTGGCAAAAAAAAAAAATTATCAAAATGTCACGGGAACAATAAAATTTGTTAAACTGTCACGCGTTATAATTCGCTACATATAGTAGCGAATTTCAACAATTTTGACACATGATATTTTTTGGTTCTGACGTGGCATATTTTGCTATCCTGTGTAGCGAATTATTTGCATGTATAATTCACTACGAATTATGCCGCGTGGCAGTTTGAGAAATTTTACTGTTCGTGTGGCATTCTGATAATTTTTTTTGCCGTAACAAAATGGTCACTGTCCCCAAAATATACATGTGTTTATCATATGATATTATTACTATCAGCGTTAGTATCAATGTCGTTATCTTTACTCTTAGATCAACTGCGTTGATCCTATGATTATGATTTAACTTTTACAAAACTTTTTTTTTATATTTATTTAATATTTATTTTTATCTTTGTATAGTTATGATTCTTCATATTAAAAGCATTAAATATGAGGAATCAAAACTATAAAAAAGTGAAAATAAATATAACCGTTGGATTTACGTAATCAATCTAACGATGAAACAAAATGATAGTATTAGTAACATTGATAATAACACTAATTGATAGTAATAATATCCTATCTCTATCATTTTTTAGCACGAGATAAATTTATTTTTTATACGTAAAAGTATACTAGGCTTATATTTTTTTTTTCTCTATTTTTTCACATGGATTTCATATAATTTTATGTGTGTAGGAGATAATATTTATCTCCTAAAAATATAAGAAATATTAAAATATATATATATATATATATATATATATATATATATATATATATAGATGGAATTTGTGATGATTTTTTTTAAGTTGAATAATTTGATAGGTTACGACAAAAACAAAACTTATCACAATGTATTTTTTTTTATTTGGTAATCTTATCACAATGTATTTTATTATATTAAGAGTTAACATTTTTTTTTTTTTTTTAAAACTGATACTAATTACCTCTTTAGTTATTTATTTTGAAAATAAAGTTTATTTTAAGAAATTTATTTTTAAAGAATAATGTACATTTTTTTATACATTTTTTTTATTTTGATATGTTAGGGATTATATTATATCATTGTCTTTTCATTTATTTAACTTTGACAAAAAAAAAAGAATAGAGAAAAAGATAATTTATTTAACTTTACAAAAATATGATATGTACATTTTTTGCCATCTCTTTTTTATATATATATATATATATATATATATATATATATATATATAATTGCAATGTAAAAAAATGTAAATATTAGATTTTTATTAAAAATAATATTACAAATACTAACACAAAAATGTTAAAATTTGTTAAAAAATAAATAAATTCATTCATAAGTAGACTTTTGGTTATGAATTTGAATAATTTACATAAGGTTATAAACTAAAATCTCATAATCACTGTTTAAATATATATATATATATATATATATATATATATATATATATATATATATATGGAAAAAATATTTTTCAAGCTGTTTGAGATAAATTTTTATCTCTGGCCATCCCAAAACTACGTCGTTTTGATTATTTATTTCCTTATATGTATTGATTCACTCTTGAATGATTATGATTCTCCTTTTCTCTCTCTTCCTTTATCACCATCTGTGAAACACGGACACACCTTTTAGGGGGGGAAATGCGTGTCCGACACGGACACATTCGGACATGCGTCAGATACGTAGTTGACTTTTTAGGACACGTTGACTAGTGGGACACGCGAATTTGACCGTATCCGACACGCGGTCAACGTAAATGGACACGTTTTGCATTTTTTTGTAGAAAAAAATTACAATTAAAAAAATACAAAATATTTAATAAAAAACAGAAAGTCTGAACCCTATTCTCCTCCGATCCTCTCTCACGCTGGAGGCTTTCTTCTTCGTTGTCGGTGGAGGAAAGTAAAGAGAAAGAGGTCGCCAAGGAAAAGACAAGCATGTTCTCTGATTCTGCAGTTGTGATCGCTGGCGCTGTTCATGATGCCATTTGAAGGCTACGATGTTTTTCTGAATTTTAATGACCAAGATGCCCATTACACCTTCACAGGTACTCTCTATAACTCTTTGTGTCTTAAAAGAATCAAGACATTCTTCACAGATGATGATAAGCTGCTACTCCAGCGTGGCGACCAAATCTCACCCTCTATTGGGGCAGTTTGGTATGCGGTATTTTATAAGATTCCCGGGAAACTGAATTTTTTTAAATTTTAAATTTTTGGATATTATTATAAACTGAATGTAAAAATTATATTTTTGAAATTTGAGATTCCCGGACAAATAAAAATTTCTCCTGTACCAAACGCCCCCTAAGCAATTGAAGATTCTAGGGTTTCTATTGTTGTTCTCTCCGAAAACTATATTATATATTAAATATGGGAAAAATATTTGTCATTTTAAATGACACAAAGTTACGTCATTTTTAATGAAATTACGTCATTTTGGTAAGTTTTTACATTCTCTCTCCTCTATTTTCTTTTTATTTCTAATTTTATAAATTAGAGAAAATGATAAAACACACCAAAACGACGTAGTTTCATTAAAAATGACACAAAGTTGTGTCATTTAAAATGACAAACACTGAACCCAATAAATATAATATATATTATATGTATTAAATATGTATTAAATATAAATTATATTATATATTAAAAATTTATATGTATTAAATATAAATTATATTATATATTAAAATTTTTATTTAATATCAAAATGTATCTCAACGTGTACAAATATGACATTTTTTAGAATTAACGCGTCGGCGTGTCGTGTCGTGTCCCGTGTCCGTGCATCATAAATCACCATTGATTCATCTTTGTATGATTATGATTTAGTAACCGGAGATAACTTTAACTCCGACAGCTTGAGAAATGATAAGTCATATATATATATATATATATATATATATATATATATATATATAAAGAGCCTGATAAAAATAGGCTTGCGAGCACCAAGTTTTGGGCCATTGGGTTGCTATTAATGTGCCATCGTTAGCGAGCTATTGGAAAAATAGGCTTGCGAGCACCAAGTTTTGGGCCATTGGGTTGCTATTAATGTGCCATCGTTAGCGAGCTATTGGACTCCAAACACAAGTACAGCTCCAGCTTCTGGATCTCGAACTAGGCCAACGTATTCTCTCGGTTGAGTTAAAATATCAAATCGCCTGAAAAATATTTAAAAAATAAATAAACAAGCATATTCAATGCTAATATTTTATATTTAATTTCTAACTTTTAAATATTTCTCAAGTTTGAAACAAGCATAAAGCAATAAGGTAGGGACAAAACAATAATTTAAACCAAAAATCTTATTTAATATAACTACAAAATTCAAGATTTAAGATTAATAAATAATTCCAGTGTTATTGTATAACAAAAAAATGGTATAAGCATGTGAATATTTATAAATAAACGCATCATAGACATCTAGTCTGATTTGTATAGATATTAACATTCAAATCAAAAAACAAGCTTACACTTATTTTATTTTTTGTTTTAATTTCTTTTTTTACTGAATTAAAAGTGAATAACAAATAACATTTCAAGGGAAACAATAGCTTTATGCCCCTAAAACAATATAATAGCCATTAACATAGATTAACCAAGCCATCTGTTAGTATATGGATGTCCTAGAGACAATCTTTTAATTAGATTAGGACATATGTAGACCTTTATATTGTCGCAAATAAATAAAAGCACTATTTATCCTGTTTCATATTTTGCCTCAATATTATTGTTAATATTTTATATGAGTAACTGGATAAACTCCTTGGAATAAAATAGGTATCTCTTGAGTATTTGTGATGAGATCACGATCATGAGGATTCAAGGATACTGAATATTTATTCCTAATTTTATGTTCCTAGTCTAGAGACACTGAGAATGGGGATCAGTGATATCGGGTAAGACTAGCACGACTTATCTACTTGTATTCGGATGCAAGGTAAAGACCTCATGAGCTACAGATATGGAGATGTCTTAGCTAAAGTCGTGGGTGGATCTATAAGGGTATAACTCGCACCGAACAGACCCACAAAAGAGACTCTATGAGAAAATCTCACAGAAAGTAGTAGTCTCTTTATATTTGGGTATGTCTTTCCTTAGACCAGAAGTTATTACCTAGACTGTGTTCTAGAAGGCATGCTTTGACTGTATACCTCGTCTGCCTGAAACATGGAGACTCATAGGTATACTGTTGGACTTGTCCTGAAATAGCACAGGGCTAGGGTGATAAGCTGAAGAAATTCGTCAAATCTCTGTAAGAGATTAGGTTATCCGTAAACCGGAGAAACCGGGATGACATTTACAGGGACTCGGGAGTCTATGCATAGTAAAAGAGATCATGAGATGATCTGCCTTTAGAGTCAGTAAATTGAAAGATTCCCTATTTTGAATAAAGCTTACCCTAAACCGCAAGGGTTGATATGCTTCCCTACCCTAGGTTTTATGGGAAGGTAACCGAGACGAAAAGAAATACATACGGCAACCAAATATGTGTAATAAGATGATCAAGTCATTAATGTAACTAGCTCTGGGGCAACAAAGCATTGCTAGTGCTCTGTGTTGTCATTAAATGGGTTGTGGGCTTGTTGGGCCCGAGCCCATTTATGTCAGTGGTTATGTTGGACCTAATGGGTCACACACTAACACCTTAATGTCATGATGATATAGCATTAAAGGTATTGGGCCTAATAATGGTTGTTAGCCCAAGATGAAGTTTGGAAGCCCACCTAAGAGGAGAGGGCGCATGGTATTGTTAATGGGCTTGGATGGTCCAAGACATTACTTTAATTTATTTAGTTAAATTAATCATCAAATATTTAAATTTGAAATTTGAAATTTGAAATTTGAATTTTGAATTTTGAATTTTGAATTTGAATTTGAAATTTGAATTTAAATTTAGAATTTGAA